CTGAGGCGGGCGGGGAGGAGCTGGGGGGGAGTGTAGGGGGAGAGTAACCCCCCCGCCTTCTTCAAGTGCCCAAGGTTGAGAAACACTGTTTTACAATGTCTGAACCAGGTTTTTCTGGAAGACTAAGGAAGACGGTAGAAACATTTACAAAAGCAGGAGGCCGATCTGACTGACGCAGGGCAAGGTTTGCATCCACCCCACCTGGACGGCCCTAGACAAGGAAGCTTCAAGCAGGCCTGGTGACCCGTTCGTCGTACAGAGGGATCTTCCTCCAAGTCCCAGAAGAGAAAGGGCCGAGGGGACTTTCCAGTTGACCTGCTGGGTTAGCCAACTCCGCAGGGCTGTCCTTGGATGGCCACTAACGCAGGAAAGCCGAAACCATGGGAACGGAGCTTGGGCGTAGCTGCCCGTCCATCTCAGAACAGTTGGCGTGAGTCGGGCATCACGCCCCTCGCTGTCCTTCCAAAGGAAAACCAGGGCCCCCGTCCAGTTCTGCCCATTGCAGGTATTTCTCAGTAGGCATTAACAAAACGAAACAGAAAAATCTCCTTTTTAGTCTTCATCCTGGCCCCACCCACTGGTTTTTGGAATATAGTTCCTGCATGCGACTATCCCCATCTTTGGCACGGAAAAAGGGTTATGTATCTTGTGCCTGGTGTCTAATCATGATACTGCTTCCTGCTATTAGACTTAATTCATATGGAAATAACATTTCAGGCTATGAAAATGACTCCCTTTAGAAATCACGCCCTCGTTTCGAACGGCTCCAGACCTCGTGCCCTGGGACCACCAGCCAGCCCGCCAGCCCCTTCTGAGAGGGGAGGCTGCTGGCTGCTAATAATGCCCCCTCCCTCGGACTCGCCCCACGGAGGATCGCCAGCAGAAGCAACGGGTGGCGAGAGAGCTTCACCCAGCGGTCCTTGATGGGGAGGGCTGCTGTTTGCCAGTCCCCCCGCCCCGGAGAAGCTGGAGACTGAACGTGGAACCGGCGGCAGCGAAGGGAACCCGCTGCGAGGGAGCCACAGTCCGGCCCTCGATCCAGCCCCGGAATGACTCACTCGCCCGTCGGCGCCCAGCGCCTGCCTCCCCGGGCAGGATTACGCCACGATGTCGTAGGCAAAAGGAAGGAGGTGAGAAGGAAGGGGGGGAAAGATGCCACCTCCTTATAAGGAAAGCCGAACTTTCCTGTTACCTGGCGATGAGGCCTGCTCAAACACGACTGGCGTGATTGTTTTCGTCCTCCCCATGGCAGCCTGCGACACTCGCCCCGTGTCACAAGAAGAGCCTCGTCCCCTGAAAGTCAGCCGTCCCTCTTGGGAGACGGAAGGTGCGCAGGAAGGGCTCCTGCCGAAGGGGATGCTCGGGAGCAGCTTGGCCTCGTTTGACTACAGACCCCACCATCCCCTGCCACGCCGGCTGGGGGTGATGGGGATTGCAGCCCAACGCAAGACCGTGTCACACCGCGCTGCCGGCATGGCGCGCAAGCCAGCAGAATCTCCACAGCCTGCTCGTTGCTCTCTTCACCCGCCTCGGGAGGTCTTTGACTCCAAAGGTGGAGAATAAATATTTTAAACCCAGCACCTGCATGTCCCCCATAAGCCCCAATCACCATTCATATGTTTTCGCTTTTGCCCCAACCGATCTCTGTTAAGTCCAACTGCAATTCCTTCCCCAATGGAAATCACCTGATTTCCCAGGAGGGCGACGCGGGACGCCAGAGAATAGAAGTGCCAAAGATGCTCAGATTCCTCTGAACAATCCGGGTTCTGCCAGCGGCTCTGAAAACCCCCTTTCAGAAGCAAAGGGGCGTCTATTGAAAGGGCTGTGTCCACCAGCAGAGAGGAAGATGGGCCACTTCCAGAAAACATCCACCGCTCCGTCTGCCAAATGAAACATTGTGAAATCACCGAAGAATTAGGTTAAAACATGGGTGTGCTCTTGCTGCAAGTTTCTTTTTATGGCAAACTTGCACCCTGGTTGGCATTTCACTCGGCCTCTCTTCGCACATCCCGAGCAAACTGGTGAGCCGCCAAGAGACCAAAGAGGAAGAAACAATTACGTTGGTGGGGGGACCACACCTTGCCAAATACCATCCAGGCCCAGCTGGGGAGCGTCACACCTGACGCTCCAAGGGTGACTTGGCAGGACCGTTTACCCTGTAAAGCCTCCAAGGGCCCAGCTGGGCCGGGCACAAATGAGCCGCCTAAGAAGGAGAAAGTAGACCAGTAGGATTACGTCTGTGTTGCAAATGGGAAAAGCAAGCTATGAACACAATGCCTCCAGAATAAGTCCAATTCCAGGGTTTCTCAACCTCAGCCACTTTAAGATGGGTGGGCTTCAACTCCCAGAATTCCCCAGCCAGCTATGCTGGCTGGGGAATTCTGGGGGTTGGAATCCACCCATTTTAAAGTGGCTGAGGGTGGGGAAAACTGGTACTCCACAGTGCCATTTGAAACAGGGAGCTCGCTTTCATTTGAAATATTTGCACTCCATTTTTCTGCTTAGCAGGAATAACCCTCTTGGTTCCTGGCTTGTATTCTTAGCGACTTGAAAGGGCAGCTTGATATTGAAATAAATGCAAGAAATCGGAAAGATCTCACCCTGCTACCGGTAAAGAAAGCTTACGGCTGGTTCAAAACGTTCTGGATCTTTGCTATCCTGCCTTGCCCGATCCGTACGGCCAAAGATGGTCCCCACAGCAGTTTCAGAGAGTAACAATGAAGGGTAATCGCCTATGGTGAGCAAAGCATTTCCTCCAAGCGATCCAACAGAAGCTTACAGATTTTTTTTTAGAGACCCAGTGACATCTACAGACATGGAGATGGTACACACACACACACACACACACACACACACACAATATAAAAATATA